CTCTGCTCCCCTGTGGCACTGCTGGGTATGGCTGGGCAGGACAAGAAGCATGGCCAGGGTTTGTTTATTCAGCACCTGTACTAAGTGGTTTGCATCTCTCTGTCTCTCTCTTGCAGGGAGGTCCTGGTCACTTATACTTGTTAAAGAACAAAGTTGCCACTTTTGCCAAAGTGGAGAAGGAGGAAGATATGATCCTGTGAGTGGCTGTGTTGTGTGGCATTTTTCTGCTTGGTTTGTTCAATGTTTATAGCACGTGGCCTGGCAGGAGAGGTGCAGGGAGCTTGGTCAGGGCAAGAGGAGGCTGAGGGGGGATGTAACAGCAGCTTGCAGCTCCTTCATAAAGTTGCAGAGATGACAGAACTCAGCTTGTCCCTGGGGTGGTGCAGCCCTGGGACAGGTCACTAGAAGATTTATGCCTTTATCTGCTGTCTAGTGTCTCTCTGGACTAGAGACTATGAAAAAAAGGAGGAAAAAAAATAATATATTTCCTCAGCTCACAAAGACTTTGCTGACCAGAAACAAGAACATTCTGTCTAGTGTCTCTCTGGACTAGAGACTATCAAAAAAAGGAGGAAAAAAAATATATATTTCCTCAGCTAACAAAGACTTTGCTGACCAGAAACAAGAACATGCACCTCGTGCCTGTGTTGCTCAGAAGTAGCTGAGGAAGCATTCCTAAGCAGGCGACTAGTGGCAGAAATCCAGACAGTTCCCCCCACAGCTGCCTCCGGTAACTGCCCTCCTCATTGCAGGGGAAATGGAATTTGCCTGCTCAAAGTCCAGCATGCTGCTGAGGAGGGTTTTCACAAACGTGCCAGCCTGTCAGCCGGGGTTGCTGAGGCAGTTTTGCAGAGAGTGAAGCTTTGCTTGTTTTGCTGCCTGCTCACTTGTGCTGGCTCAGACTCACTTGGCTAAGAGAGCTCGTTGTGGGGGAGAGGATGCACACCAACCTGTTCCTACACAACTTTTAGTTGGCGTGAGGACTCAGTATTAAAATCAACATCTGTTCAGCACTCTCATGCTCTGACACAAACACTGTCAATAAAATTCTTCAGCACGTGTGCCTGTACACACTTCTGAACGTATTCCAGGCGTAGCTGGTCCAAAGTTGGTAATTCAGAAACCTTTGGGAAGCTGTGAATGCACAGCTGAAAACTTGGATGCTTGGAAGGGAACGTCTCCATTCAACCTATATGTGCCTGGGAGGGAGTGCAGAGAAAAGCTTAGGCTGCAAGACCCCACAGAGGAACTGCTGGGCTTTGGAGGCCACCAGAAGTCAGCTCTAACCCACCGCACAGGGGAGGTGGTTGTCCATGTCCCTCAGGCACAGTGTGCCTGGCCAGTAGTCACAAAATGTAAAGCAGGTCTCACTGGGGAGCAGCACCAAGCACTGGCTAACATGGAGCAGCCTGGTTTGGTGGTGTCTCTCTAGCTAGGTAAAAGAACCACCTCTCCAGATGTTCTCTGATGGTCTTGTCACCTGGAAATGAACCAGTGCACTGGTAACACTTGTGTCTAGAAAGGGCAATTTTTGATAGAAATAGGAGAGAGGAAAGTGGAAGGAAGTATTAAAGAAGAGAATGCTTAGTAAAACTGTCAGTCTAAAAGCATTCCTGGTGGACTTTGCTCCTTTCTCTTCACCTTGGAGCCTTGGCTTGATGGGCTGCCTCTCCTTGTCTGCCACATGACTTGGACCTGCTCCTCAGACCATTGCTCTGCCCCTGCTCTCCCTTGTCTAAGAACCAATGGCTCTTCCTGAGCAGCTTGCTCCTCAGGCTACAAGACTCAGGCTCCTTCTGAGCAGTGTGTGCACACATCCTTGTGGTTACTCGTGCACAGGAGGAGATAGATGTTAAAAAAAAAAAAGTGTGTTCTGTTTTTTTCCTCTTTCTTCCAGCTTCTGGAAGAGGTTGAGCCGACTGATGAGTAAAGTCAATCCTGAACCAAATATCATTCACATCATGGGCTGCTATGTTCTTGGAAACCCCAATGGGGAGAAGGTAAGAGCTTCCTGGGTCACCTCTCTGGGAATGTCTGCTGAGGAGCAGCAAGCCCAGGGAGGGAACAGTCACACTGTCAGGTTTAAACCTTCCTCTCCTGCTGTGTGGGAACGTGCTGCTGTCCTGTCCCATGAGTGGCTGTGGATGTGGGTGGACCACCCTGTGGATTGTGCCTTCCCCAGAGGGCAGAGGAGGAATGAGAAGTGACATGCAGGACAAATACTGAAGCCTTTGAGGAGAACAAAGCACTTTATTTATTTACTGATGAGTCAGATGTTTTAAAGGACATGAGTGGAAGGTTTTCTAGAAGTAGGGAACAGGAATGGGCAATTTTGGGTGTCCTGGAGTTCATCTTTGTTTTCAGCTGCTGACTCTGGATATGTTTTCCTTTCAGCTATTTCAGAATCTGAAAAACTTAATGAATCCTTATAGGGTTGCCTTTGAGTCTCCACTTGAACTATCAGCTCAAGGTAATTTATTTTCTGTACACAGCCACACACTTTGCTAATCACCCTGCCTTGTTCAGTGGGCATCTTCCTGACAAAGCAGTTCTGAGCTCCCTGAAGTCCTGCCATGATCTTCATTTGCTTGTAACCACCTTGTGTAGTTCAGTTGCTGAACCTGGTTTTCCCTTTGCAGTTCCTCCACCTTCACATTTCATCTACCCCATGTGTTGCACCTGAAGCTGCAGAGCCCTCTCCCAGGCTCCTGGCAGTGACAGAGTAGCCTAAAGAGCAGGCAGCTTTCCAGGCTGAGTTTAGGAGATTTGTTATATTCCTAGGGCACGTGAAGTCTGTGGGAGAAATGCACATGGGAGCAGAACCTTTCCTGTAACCCAGTGTGCAGGGGTGTCTTCTCCAGGACTCAAACCACTGGTATCAAGTGAGCTGTGTCACCAACAAGCAACTGGGATGTAGCCCATTACAGCCACTCTACCTCTCCAGCCATCCACTTTTTAGTTTTTGGGTTTTTTTTTGTTTTTTGGGGGTTTTTTGCCTGTAGCTCAAGATATTTCAAGGGGCTACAGGATTTTTTTTCAGTTCTTTGGGCAATATAAGTAATTATTGGTGCAGTTTCCTAAGGGACATGCTCTGAATTTGCCCTTGTTGTTTTATCTTTGCTGTAATCCTTGGTACTTTTTTCTCTTGGAAGATAAAAACGTGCAGCATGAGGCTGTGAATGCTGTGGATGCTTCCTCTGCTGCTCACAGCTGGAATCAGCACCGATGGGTTATTCTTCATTCCTGTTTAGTGTCATAACAACGTACGGGAGCTGAGCACATCCGAGCTGCGCAGGGTTCCCTGTGTGTGTCCTGCTGAGGTGTGGACCCAGCTGTATCCAGTGCTCACCCAGATCCCACAGCGAATGTGCTCGTAGGTGTGAGCCAAGAAACAACTTGCAGGGACGCTCCTGGGTTTACACGCAGCTTGGCAGCCCAGGCAGAGGGTCCTGTGCACGTGCACAGTTGATCTTCCAGGAGTTTGGGCTGAAGATTCATCTGGATTTATCCCCTTGATCGATCTTGGACGTGCTAAGAGTGTAACCTCTCTAATCCTTTGCAAAGTCATCTGAAATTAATCTTTAATTTCAGATGATATATAATATAA